CTGGAAGAAATGTAGCAAAGAAAAAAAAATTGGCTTTGATAATTAACGTAATCGCCCCATCATACTCGGGGAGAGCCCCTTTTTTTAAACCTGGTGAGTTGACCCCACGGTGGCTTTACAAATCACCGCAGGATTTTTTTTTAATCGAAAGACGCGTGCTGTATATTTTTTTTTTTTGGCTGCGATCGCTCCGATTAAACCGTTTTTTCCCTTAATAGAATGTCTTTTTTGGAAGAGAAATGTGTTTTTATTTTTTCCAAACTAATCTACGAGAGAAATGAGCAAAAAACAAAATGTGATTAGTAATTGAAAAATCGCGCCATCATACTCATGGAGAGACTGGTCTTTAACCGGGGGCGTGAGTTCGACCCACTGGGGGTTTTACAAATACGTGATAAAGCATGGGTTTTTTTTTAATCAAAAGACGCGTGTTATATTTTTTTTTTAAGGCTGGATCGTCTCGATTAATCCGCTTAAATTTTAACCTTAATAGAATGTCATTTTTGAAAGAAATGTGTCTCATTATATTTTTCCCCAAACTAATCTACAAAAATGGAAGAAAAAAACAAAATGTGCTTTGAGTAATTTAAAAGTAATCGGCAATCATACTCAGTGGAGAGCACTGGTTTTGTAAACCGGGGGTCGTGAGTTCGATCCTCACTGGGGTTTTTCAAAACTGAAAAGCGGGAGTTGTTTTAATGAAAGAGGGTGCTGTTTTTTTTTTCTTTTTAAGGGCTTTGCGATCGCTCCGATTAAATCCGCGTTAATTTAATCCAAAAGGTCTTTTGGGAAGAGAAATGTCCCCATTTTATATTTCAAACAATCTAGAGAGAAATGTAAAAAAAACAAAAATGTCTGAGTAATTGAACGTAAGGGCCCCATCCAAGCTCAGGGGACACTGGTCTTGTAAACCGGGGTCTGAGTTCGATCCTCACTGGGGGTTTTCAAATACGTTTTTTTTTTTTTTTTTTTTTTTTTTTTTTTTTTTTTTTTTTTTTTTTTTTTTTTTTTTTTTTTAAAAAGCATGGAGTTTTTTTTAATCGAAAGAGGGTGCGTATATTTTTTTTTTATAGGCTTGCACCCTTTTATTATAATGCGTTAATTTAATTTTTAATAGAATGTCTTTTAAAGAAAATGGTCTCATTATATATTTAAAACTAATCTACGAGAGAAATGGCGAAAAAACAAAAAGGGCATTGGAAAAGGAACGTAATCCGCCCTCATACCGTGGCAGAGCACTGGTCTTTTAAAACCGGGGTCGGAGTTCGATCCTCACGGTTTTTTAAAAACTGAAACTGGATTTGTTTTAATCAAAAGAGCGTGCTTATTTTTTTCATATGCTTTGCGATCCCTCGATTAAATCCGCGTTAATTTAACCCCAAATAAAAAATGCTTTTGGAAGAGAAATGTGCCATTTATATTTCAAAAAATCTACGAGGAAATGTAGGAAAGAAAAAAAAAGGGCTTGGAAATTGAAGAAACGGCCCCATCTTTCTCAGTGGCAGAGCACTGGTCAAACCAGGGGTGGGAGTTCGATCCTCATGGTGGCTTTAAAAAACTGAAAAGCATGGGTTGTTTTAATCGGCCCTTTCGATATTTTTTTTTTAAGTGTTGCATCCGGGGGAATCCGCTTAATTTTAATTTTAAAAGAATGTTTTTTTGGAAGAAAAATGTGTCTTTTATATATTTCAAACTAATCTGGGGAAAGAAATGTAAAAAAAAAAAATTGCATTGAAAATATGAACGTAACGGCGCCATCATATTCAGTGGCGGGCACTGGTCTTGTAAACCGGGGTGGGGATTTCGATCCCCCTGGTGGTTTTTAAAAAAACTGAAGCATGGAGTTTTTTTAAAATAAAACGGGGCTGTATATTTTTTTTTTTATAGGCTTGCGATCGCTCTCGATTAAACCCCGGTTAATTTAACCTTAAAAGAATGTCTTTTTGGAAGAAAATGTTCTCATTATATATTTAAAAAATCTACGAGAAATGTAGGAAAAAAAAAAATGTGCATTAGTAATATAACGTAATCCGCCCACATACTCAGTGGCAGAGCACTGGTCTTGTAAACCGGGGGTCGTGAGTTGATCCTACTGGGCTTTACAAAACGAAAAGGTGGATTTGTTTTAATCGAAAGCCTTGTATATTTTTTTTTTATAGTCGGGATCCTTTGATTAAATCCGGTTTTTTTAAACCCTTTAATAGAATTCATTTTTAAAAAGAGAAATTTTCTCATTATTTTTTTTCAAATAATCTACAGAGAAATGGCAAAAAAAAAAAATGTGCTTTGATAATTGAACGTAACGCGCCATCATACTCAGTGGCAGAGCACTGGTTTTTAAAAACCGGGGTCGAGTTCGATCCTCACTGGGGTTTCAAAACTTGAAGCAGGGAGTTGTTTTAATCGAAAGACGCGTGCTGTATATTTTTTTTTATATTTCGTCCCTTTCATTTAATCCGCGAAATTTTAATCCTTTAAAGAATTTTTTGGGAAGAGAAATGTGTCTCATTATATATTTCAAACTAATCTACGAGAGAAATGTAGGAAAGAAACAAAAATGTGCTTTGAGAAAGGGAACGAAACGGCGCCATCATAGCTCAGTGGCAGAGCACTGGTTTTTAAAACCCAGGGTCGAGTTCGATCCTCCTGGATTTACAAAACTAAAAGCATGGGTTGTTTTAATCGAAAGAGCGGGTATTTTTTTTTTAAGTTTGGATCCCCCCGATTAAATCCGCTTTAAATTTTAACCTAATAGAATGTCTTTTTTGGAAGAAAATGTGTCTCATTATATATTTCAAATAATCTACGAGAGAAATGTAGGAAAGAAACAAAATGGCTTTGAGTTTTTAAACGTAATGGGCGCCATCATACTCAGTGGCAGAGCACTGGTCTTGAAACCATGAGTTCGACCCCACTGGTGGCTTTACAAATGGGATCAAGCAGGGAGTTGTTTTAATCAAAAGGGGCTGCTGATATTTTTTTTTAAAAGGCGATCGCCTCGTTTTAACCGCTTTTTTAAATCCTTTAGTGTCATTTTGGAAGAGAAATGTTTTATTATTTTTTTTCAAATAATCTACGAGAGAAATGTGAAAAAAAAAATTATTGAGTTTTTAAAAACGAAGGGGCGATCATACTCGGGCAGAGCACTGGTCTTGTAAAACCGGGTCGTGATTTCGATCCTCACTGGGGTTTAAAAAATTTAAAGCAGGGGTTGTTTTTAATCAAAAGACGGGGCTGTATATTTTTTTTTTAATGTTTTTTATCGTTCGTTTTCCGCTTAATTTTAACCCCCTTTAAAGTTTTTGGAAGAGAAATGTCTCATTATATTTTTAAAACACGAGAGAAAGGCGAAAGAAAAAAAAAGGGGATTGGTAATATGAAAAAAAGCGCCATATATTCAGTGGAGAGCACTGGTCTTTAAACCGGGGTTTTGGGCGACCTCAGGTGGCTTTCAAAATTGAAAAAGGGGAGTTGTTTTAATCGAAAGACCGTGCTGTATTTTTTTTTTTATGATGCGTCTCTCGATTAATCCCTTTAAATTTTAACCCTTAATAGAATGTCTTTTTTTGGAAGAAAATGTGTCTCATTATATATTTCAAATTTAATCTACGAAAAATGTAAAGAAAGAAACAAAAAGGCATGGAAATATAAGTAATGGCGCCATCATACTCAGGGGAAGCCGGCTTGTAAACCGGGGGTCGTGAGTTCGATCCCCCCGGGGGCCAAATACGGATCAAGCATGGAGTTGTTTTAACGAAAGACGCGGCTTATATTTTTTTTTTATATGCAGGATGCCTCGATTAATCCCTTTAATTAACCAAAGAATGTCTTTTAAAGAAATGTGTCTCATTATTATTTCAAATTCTACGGAAAGGCGAAAGAAAAAAAAATGGTTTGAGTAATTGAACGTAATCGCGCCATCATACTCAGTGGCAGAGCACTGGTTTGTAAACCGGGGTCGAGTTCGACCCTCACGGTGTTTACAAAACGGAAAAGCATGGAGTTGTTTTTAACAAAAGAGGGTGCTGTATTTTTTTCTTTATAGTGCGGATCGCCTTTTTAACCCGAAATTTTAATCCTTAATAGAATGTCATTTTGGAAAGTGTCTCATTATATTTTTTAAACTAATCTACGAGAAAAATTTTAGCAAAAAAAACAAAATGCATTGAGTAATATAAACAATGGGGCGCCACATATCTAGTCAGGGAGCACGGTTTTGTAAACCGGGGGTGTGAGTTCGTCCTCACTGGTGGCTTTACAAAACTGAAGCTTGAGTTGTTTTAACAAAAAGACGCGGTTTTTTTTTTTTAAGTGCTTGCATCCCCTTTCGATTAAAACCGGTTAATTTAATCCAATAGAATTTTTTTTAAAAGAAAATGTGTCTCATTATATATTTCAAATAATCTACGAGAGAAATGTAGGAAAGAAACAAAATGTGCTTTGAGAAATTGAACGTAATCCGCCATCATAGCTCAGTGGCAACGGTCTTGAAAAGGGGTCGGGTTTTCCCTCACTGGTGGTTTTACAAATTGGCTGATTTGTTTTAATCGAAAACGCTTTCTGTATATTTTTCTTTTTTTTCTGCATGCTTCGATTAACCCCGGTTAATTAATTTTAATAGAATGTCTTTTTTGGGAAAAAGGGCCCCATTATATTTTTCCCCAAAACAATTACAGAAAAATTAGAAAGAAACAAAATGTGTTTTGAAAATTTTAAAACGTATGGGCCCCATCATATCAGTGGCAGAGCACTGGTTTTGAAACCAGGGTCGAGTTGACCTCACGGTGGCTTTAAAAATGAAACTAGTTGTTTTAATCGAAAGACGCGTGCTTATTTTTTTTCTTTTATAGGCTCGTCCCTGATTAAACCCGCTTTAAATTTTAACCCCTTAATGAATGTCTTTTTGGGAAGAAAATGTGTCTCATTATATATTTAAAAACAATCTACGAGAAAATGTGGGAAAAAAAAATGTTTTGAGAAAATTGAACGAAATGGGCCCATCATATCTCAGTGGCAGAGCACTGGTCTTGTAAACCAGGGTCGTGAGTTCGATCCTTTGGAAAAAACTGAAAGCATGGTTGTTTTAATCGAAAGACCGTGTGTATATTTTTTTTTTTGGGGGATGCCTCTTTTCCCGCGTTAATTATCCTTAATAGAATTTCTTTTTTTGAAAAGAAATGTGTCTCTTTATATATTTAAAAACTACGAGAAAAAATGTAAAAAAGAAACAAAATGTGCATGAGTAATTGAACGTAACCGCGCCATCATACTCAGGGCAGAGCACTGGTCTTGTAAACCGGGGGTGGGAGTTCGACCCTCACTGGTGGTTTTTACAAAACTTAAAAGCATGGATTTTTTTTTTAATCGAAAGAGCCTGTATATTTTTCTTTATGGCTTGGATCACCTCGATTATAACCGCGCTTTTAACCCCAAGAATGTCTTTTGGAAGAGAAAGTGTCTCATTAATATTTCAAAACTAATCTACGAGAGAAATGAAAGGAAAGAAACAAAAAGGGCATGAAAATATGAAGAAACCCGGGCCCCATCATAGCTCAGGCGGCAGAGCACGGGTCTTGTAAACCAGGGGTGAGTTCGATCCTCACGGGGCTTTAAAAAACTTGAAAAGCATGGAGTTGTTTTAATCGAAAGACCGGCTGTATATTTTTTTTAAGTGCTTGGATCCCCTCGATTAAACCCCGTTAATTTAATCCAATAGAATGTCTTTTTAAGAGAAATGTGTCTCAATTATATATTTCAAACTAATCTAGAGAAATGAAAAGAAAGAAAAAAAAATGTATGAGTAATTGACGTAATGTGCCACATACTCAGTGGCAGAGATGGTCTTGTAAACCAGGGTCGTGATTTCGATCCTCCGGTGGTTTACAAATACCGATCAAGCATGGAGTTGTTTTTAATCGAAAGACGCTTTATATTTTTTTTTTATAGTGCTTGCGATCCTTCGATTATAATCCCCGAATTTAACCTTAATAGAATGCCCTTTTTGGAAAGTGTGTCTCATTATATTTTTTAAAACAATTAGAGAGTAGTAAAAAGAAACAAAATGTGCATTGAGTAATGAACGTAATTCGCCTCATACCAGGGGCGGGCACTGGTCTTGTAAACCGGGGGTCGGAGTTCGATTTTTCGGTGGTTTTAAAAAAAATTGAAAAGCGGGGATTTTTTTAATCGAAAGCGCTGTTATTTTTCTTTTTATGGGCTTGCTTTTCCCTTCGATTAAAATTTGCGAATTTAACCCCTTAGAATTTCATTTGAAAGGAAAGGTCTCATTAAAAATTTTCAAATAATCTACGAGAAAATGTAGCGAAAGAAACAAAATGTCATGAGTAATTGAACGTAATCCTTCGCCATCATACTCGTGGCAGAGCACTGGTCTTGAAAAACCAGGGGTCGTGAGTTCGATCCTCCCTGGTGGCTTTACAAAACTTGAAAAGCATGGAGTTGTTTTAATCAAAAGACGCGTGCTTATATTTTTTCTTTTATGGCGCGATTTTTCGATTATAACCGCTTAATTTAACCTTAATAGAATGTCATTTTAAAAAGAGAAATGTGTCTCATTTATATTTCAAAAATTTACGAGGAAATTTAGGAAAGAAACAAAATTTTTGAGTAATAGAACGAACCGGCTATCTTTGCTCAGGGGCAGAGCACTGGTTTTGAAAAACCGGGGCCGGGTTCGATCCTCACTGGTGTTTTTCAAAACTGAAAGCATGGAGTTGTTTTTAATCGAAAGACGGTGCTGTATATTTTTTTCTTTTATAGTGCATGCGATCGCTCTCGATTAATCCGCGTTAATTACTCCTTAATAGAATGTCATTTTTGGAAGAGAAATGTGTCTCATTATATATTTCAAACTAATCTACGAGAGAAATGTAGCGAAAGAAACAAAAATGTGCATTGAGTAATGTGAACGTAATGCGGCGCCATCATAGCTCAGTGGCAGAGCACTGGTCTTGTAAACCAGGGGTCGTGAGTTCGATCCTCACTGGTGGCTTTACAAATACGTGATCAAGCATGGAGTTGTTTTAATCGAAAGACGCGTGCTGTATATATTTCCTTTTATAGTGCATGCGATCGCTCTCGATTAATCCGCGTTAATTTAATCCTTAATAGAATGTCATTTTTGGAAGAGAAATGTGTCTCATTATATATTTCAAACTAATCTACGAGAGAAATGTAGCGAAAGAAACAAAATGTGCATTGAGTAATATGAACGTAAGCGGCGCATCATAGCTCAGTGGCAGAGCACGTGTCTTGTAAACCAAGGGTCGTGAGTTCGATCCTCACTGGTGGCTTTACAAATACGTGACAGCATGGAGTTGTTTTTAATCGAAAGACGCGTGCTGTATATTTTTCTTTTTATAGTGCTTGCGATCGCTCTCGATTATAATCCGCGTTAATTTAATCCTTAATAGAATGTCATTTTTGGAAGAGAAATGTGTCTCATTATATATTTCAAACTAATCTACGAGAGAAATGTAGCGAAAGAAACAAAATGTGCATTGAGTAATATGAACGTAATCGGCGCCATCATAGCTCAGTGGCAGAGCACTGGTCTTGTAAACCAGGGGTCGTGAGTTCGATCCTCACTGGTGGCTTTACAAAATACGTGATCAAGCATGGAGTTGTTTTTAATCGAAAGACGCGTGCTGTATATTTTTCTTTTATAGTGCATGCGATCGCTCGATTAATCCGCGTTAATTTAATCCTTAATAGAATGTCATTTTTGAAGAGAAATGTGTCTCATTATATATTTCAAACTAATCTACGAGAGAAATGTAGCGAAAAGAAACAAAATGTGCATTGAGTAATATGAACGTAATGCGGCGCATCATAGCTCAGTGGCAGAGCACTGGTCTTGTAAACCAGGGATCCTGAGTTCGATCCTCACTGGTGGCTTTACAAATACGTGATCAAGCATAGAGTTGTTTATAATCGAAAGACGCGTGCTATATATTTTTCTTTTTATAGTGTTTGCGATCGCTCTCGATTATAATCCGCGTTAATTTAATCTATAGAATGTCTTTTGGAAGAGAAATGTGTCTCATTATATATTTCAAACAATCTAAGGAAATGTAGCGAAACAAAATGTCTGAGTAATATAACGTAATCCGGCCATCATAGCTCGGGGACACTGGTTTGTAAACCGGGCTAGTCGATCCTCTGTGGCTTTACAAATACGTGATAATGGAGGTTTTAACGAAAGACGTGCTGTATATTTTTTTTTTATAGGCTGATCCTTCGATTAATCGCGTAATTACCTTAATAGAATGTCATTTTGGAAGAAATGTGTCTCATTATATTTTCAAAATCTACGAGAAAAGGCGAAAGAACAAAATTGCATTGAGTAATATAAAACGGTAAAAAAAAAAAAAAAAAAAAAAAAAAAAAAAAAAAAAAAAAAAAAAAAAAAAAAAAAAAAAAAAAAAAAAAAAAAAAAAAAAAAAAAAAAAAAAAAAAAAAAAAAAAAAAAAAAAAAAAAAAAAAAAACTTTTTTTAAAAGGGGTTTGGTTCATTTATTCTTTAAAATATATAAGGGTTTTTTAAAAAAAAAAATGTGTATATTTTTTTTAAAACCCGCTTCAAAAACCCGCGTTTTTTTCCTTAAAAAGTTTTTTGGGAAAATTTTCTTAAATTTCAAAAAAAGGAGTTACGAAAAAAAAAAAAAATTCTTGGTTATAAACGAAACCGGCCCCTATACCTTAAGAGGGTTTTTAAAAAAGGGGTTTTTTCCCCTCCTTTTTTAAAAAACTATCCAGAGGATTGTTTTAAGAAAATCTGTATTTTCTTTTTATAGTCAGGTGCTCTGGGATTAACCCGGTTTTCCTTAATAAATGTCTTTTAAAAAAATGTGTCCATTATTTTTAAACAAACGGGTGTAAAAAAAAATGTCTTGGTTTTAAAAAAATGGGCGTATTTCTAAGAGGGTTTTTTTAAAAAAAGGGGGGGTCTATTATTCAGGTTTTAAAATGGGAAAAACAATTTGTTTTTAATTAAAGACCGGCATTTTTTTTTTTTTAAAGCATGGCCCTTAAAAAGGGGGGTTTCCCCCTTTAAAAAATTTTTTTTAAGAAAAGGTTCTTTATTTTTTTTTAAAATTTACAAAAAAAGGGGAAAAAACTTTTTAGTAATTTTAAAAAAGTTTTTTAAAAAACCAGGGCAGAGATGGTCGAAAACCCATTCTGAGTTACCTAATGGTGGTTTAAAAAACGTGCAAGCAGGGGTTTTTTTAAAAAAGCGGTCAATTTTTTTTTCTCACCCCTTGTTTAATGGTTTTTAAAAAAAAATTCTTTTTTGAAAAAAATTTCTCATTAATTTTAAATTAAATTTTTAAAAAAATTAGGAAAAGAAAAAAAATTTCTTTAATTAAATTCCAAAAAAGGGAGAAACTTAAAGGGGGGAATTGACCTACGGTGGCACAATACTGCCAGGGGGTTGTTTTTAAAAAAGCGGTCTTATTTTTTTTTTTAAAGACGCTCTTTTTTAACCCGGAAAATTTCCAAAAGTTTTTTTTTTTTTGGGGAAAAATGTGTCTCATTTAAAATTTCAATAATTTTAAAGAAGAAATTGGAAAAAAAAAAATTCTTATAATTAACCGAAACGGGATTCCGGGGAAAAAATTGTAAAGGGTGGACATCCTCCTTGGTTTTAAAAAGGGGGGGAAATGGTTTTTTAACCAAAGCGGGTGATTTTTTTTTTTTAAAGGGTGGGTGTTTTTTTTAACCGCGTTAATTTTTTTTAAAAATTTTTTGGGGTTT